CCCCTGGAGGGTGATTTCTCACTTTCCCTCTCTCTTTCTCTCTCTCTCTCTCTGGCAAGTCCACACACTTGATAGCAAAAAAGATTAAAATGATTAAAATAATCTCAAGTTATCTTTTCCAAATTTTCAAATATAACACTATGAAAACAGAAATCAATAGAGGAAAATCCACAAATATGTGGACGTCAAATATACTCTTAAACAACCTATGGGTCAAATGAAACTTCTAAAAAAATTCTTAAACAAGTGAAAATCAAAACACAACATACCAAATTTATGGGATGCAGCAAAAGCAGTTCTAAGAGAAAAGTTTATGGTGATAAACACCTACATAAAAAAAAGAAAAAGCGCCACAGCATCGTTAACTTCACACCTCAAGGAACTAGAAAAGAACTAAGCCTAATGAACAGAAGAAAGGAAAAAATAAAGATCAGGACAGAATAAACAAAACAGAAATTAGAAAACAGCAGAAAAGATTGATGAAATTATGACTGCTTTTTGGAACATTAAAAAAAATGGACAAAATTTTTGCTAGACAACTTTTAGATAGACAAGAAAGAAGAGAGAAAGCAAAAAGCAGACATGAGAGGATATTTTACGACTGATACAAGAGAACTACAAAAAATGACCAGAAGAGACTGTGAACAATTATACATACATGGATAATCTAGAAGAAATGGATAAAGTCCTAGACATATACAACCTATGAAGACTGTATCAAGAAAAAGGAAAAAATCTAAACAGACCAGTAAGTATAAAGAGATTGAATCGGTAACAAAAGCTTCCCCAAAACACTGGTGAATTCTACCAGATATTATTTAAAGAAGAACTAATCTCTCTGAAAATCCTTGCAAAAAATTAATGAGGAGAGAATGCTTCCAAACTCATTTTATAAGGTCAATATTATCCTGATACCAAAACCAGACAAGAATACTACAAGAAAAGAAAACTATAGGCTAATCTCTTGATGAAAAATCCTCAACAAAATACTAGCAAACTGAAGCCAACAGCACATTAAAAGGATCATGTACCATGATCAAATAGGATTTATCTTTTGGATATAGATGGTTCAACATACACAAATTAATAATGTGGGTTATCGCATTAGCAGAATGAAAGATAAAAATCATATAATCATCTCAGTAAATGCAGAAAAAGCATCTGACAAAATTCAGTCATTTTTTATGATAAAAATTTTTAACAGATTAAGTAGAGGAGATTGTCCCTCAACATAATGAAGGCCATAGACAACAAGCAGACAGCTAACACACCATGGTAAAAAGCTGGAAGTTTTTGGTCTAAGATTAGGAGCAAGACAAGGATGCCTACTCTTGCCACTTCTATTCAGAAGTATTATAGCCAGAACTATCATATAAGAAATAAAAGGTATCCAAACCAGAAAGGAAGAGATAATGTTATCTGCGTGCAGATGACATGATCTTATATATAGAAATCCTTAAAAATTCCACCAAAAAAACCTGTTCAAGGGGCTGGCAGGTGGCATGGTGGGTAAAGGCACTGGACTCTCACATGATTGACCAAGAGTAGAGTACCGGACCTGGTGGCTTGCTTTCTTACTTTCCCTTTCTCTCTCTCTCTCTCTCTGTCTCTCTCTGGTCAAATTGGGAAAAAAAAAAAAAAAAAAAGATAACAAATAGAATTAAATAAACAAATAATTTTAAAAAAACCTGTTAGAATAAACAAATGCAATAAAATTATAGAATTCAAAATCAACATATGAAAATATACTTCACACAATAACAACTTTCCAAAAAAGAAATAAAGAAAATCCCAGCTATAATGACAAAAAACTTAAAAAACCAAAAACTTAGATGAATTTAAAAAAGGAGGTGGAAGACTTGTACAATGAAAATTATAAAATATTAATGAAAGAAACCAAAGAAAATACTAATAAATGGAAAGATATTCCATGTTCATGAATTGGAAAAAATATTGTTAAAAAATGTCTATACTACTCAATTTAAAGATTCAATGCAATGGTTATTAAAATTCCAGGGGCATTTTCATAGAAACAGAAAAAAGCAATCCTAAAATTCATATGGAACCACAAATGACCCTCAATAACCAAAGCAATCTTGAGGGGGAAAAAAAAAAAAGAACAAAGATGGAGGAATCATACTACCTGGTTTCAAAATATACTATTATAAAGCTAAAGTAATCAAAAGAGCATGGTACTGGCATAAACACAGACCTGGAGACCAGTGAAACAGAATACAGAGCCTCAAAATAAATCCACACATTTATGACCAATTGATCTCTGACAAAGGGACCAAGAACACACAATAAATGTATTGGACCACCTGTCTAATAAATGGTGCTAGAAAAATTAGATAGGCACATACAAAAGAATAAATGGAGATCTTCATTTCATTCCATAAACAAAAATCACCTCAAATGGATTAGAAACTTAAATGTAAGACCTGAAACTAAAAATACTGGAAGCAAACATAGGGTTAGGGTTCCCACTAAGGCTAACAAATGGGGGCTAGAAGAGACAGGCACAGCTTCCCCCCAGGAAAAACCATAGGGAAGGCAAGAGGAATGGCATATGCAAGGTGTTTAGGGAAGGGCGCTGAGTGACAAGAGGCCTGTCAGTGATAATATGGGTAGTGACAATGAAGGCTGACAAGAGCTAACTCCATTCTGCAATGGAAATATGCTGCTCAGGAGGCCAAATTCCACATGGCAACCATGATTTTGAGTCTCCAGCCTGGCAAACAGAGGCCACTGTACCTGCCCAGGCTTAAAGGAGGAAGGTAGCTAAGGGGTGAGGGCAAGGCCAAGGCCATGAAAAAGGGATGGGACAAGTGCTAAGCAGGTGGAGACAGATCAATAGCACTTAGGAGTAGAAAGAAAAGAGTATATTGGGGTGGCACAGGTATATTTATCTCACACCATCTGAGGATCTTACAACAAAACAAAAACCCAGTCTAGAGAAGAGAAGAGCAGAGCATATCAGCACTGAGGAGGTACTGTGAGGAGAGCTCAGGAACTACCAGCGCTTGTCATTTCTTCGAAGGGAAACCACTAGTGTTTTCCCAAGGTCCTCTCAGATCCTGTAACAACCCGATACAAAGATACAAAGCTTCTTTTCTCTTCTTTCTTTCTCTCTCTCTCTCTCTCTCTCTCTCTCTCTCTCTCTCTCTCTCTCTCTCTCTCTCTCTCTCTCTCTCTCTCTCTCTCTCTCTCTCTCTCTCTCTCTCTCTCTCTCTCTCTCTCTCTCTCTCTCTCTCTCTCTCTCTCTCTCTCTCTCTCTCTCTCTCTCTCTCTCTCTCTCTCTCTCTCTCTCTCTCTCTCTCTCTCTCTCTCTCTCTCTCTCTCTCTCTCTCTTTCTTTCTTTCTTCTTTTTTTTTTTTTTTGCTTTCAAGGGTACCACTCCTGGAATCTAGGATCTGCTGGGGTGACACTTCTGTATTTCTAGCTCCAGGTCTCCCCTCAGCTTGCCAACATACTAACCAGATCACTACTACCGGCTACGTGAGCCCAGGCAGACAGGAAAAGAAGGCTGAACCCTTCTCCATGTGATCCTGACCAAGTCTCACAGCTGCCACACTGACCCCTAACTAATCCCGGCCCATCTGTCCATCCCTTTTCATTCAGCAGTTTAATAAAACACAAATTGTAAGCCCTCAGTTTTGTTCTCTTTAAAATACAAATAACAATCCACAGTATTTTGACCTTTCCTCACAGTTCCTATTCATCAAGCCCTAAGTTAATTTTGTTACTCACTTCCAAACTTTCTAACTTAAGCTGCAGACTCTAATCAGGTACAAAACCTCATTTTCAAAAGCCTGGCACTGATCAGAAAGCAACAGAACGGCTGCTTTGCTCAAGCACATGGGATGATCAGAGCAAACAAACCTCATTCTTGTTTTTTGCTGTTGCATCGCATTTACTGTTCTCAGGCTTCCTTAGGTGTGTCCACCTTCCTCCTTGGTCAAAAGTGATCATAGTCTGGATAGAATTATCTGAATGGGAGAAGAATGGCATTAAACCTGATACACTGGAAGCACCCAACTAAGTTCAGTTTATTATTGCATTACTCTCTTCTAACTGAGGATATAGAACGCCATGATAACCCTGGAGTCCCACAAGCTTTACAAAAGCCTTACAAAATGACTCATCGAGGTAATAACTGAATGGTACTTTAAATATGATATTTAAAGAAGGTCTCCCAACTGAGCAGGACCTAAATGATTTCAGAAATCATTTAGAACTGATACTTCTGAAAAAGATACTTTTCACCTCCTGTTGTCTGTCCTCAACTTCACCTACTACCCCTCTTATATCTTTTCTCCCTCATGTATCTTCTCCATTCTCTAGTTTCAATGATATGAAATGCTGCAGGAATATGCTTTAAGTTTTTCAAGGAAACCCAAACAAGAGAGCAAATAAAGAAAAATTCACACATTCAATAAATATTGATCACATCCCAACTATTTGAAAATTGCTGTAAGTTTTTAAGAATATATCAGTGAAAAAGAAACAACAAAAAATGTGTAAAATATACACTCTAGTATACATAAAACAAGCATTAAGCATAGTAAGTAAATTAGACAGTATGTTAGAAAGTTAAGTGCTCTGGAAAAAACCTGGTACAGCTAAAAATGGATCGTGTGTGTCTGTGTGTGTGTTGTGTATGGGTGGGCACACTGGAATTTAAAACAGGATAGTGAGGCCAGGTCTCGCTCAGAAAATAACATGGGCAAACACCCAAAGGAGGAAGACACCAGTCTTGCAGGTATCTGGAGACAGAGGGACCCGTCCGTAAATGTGTACCTGGTATGTTTAAGGACTGGCAGGGGGTGGAGCAAATGAAGGCGAGAAGAGCCAAAGATGAGGATAGGGAGGAAGCAGGGATCCAATTACCACTTAGGACCTTATAAGCCATTGCAAAGACTTCACAAAATAAAAACCAACAGCCCCTAGCTCCTATCAAAAATTAAATACCTACATAAAATAAAACTTGAAAAGTCTTAGTACTTGATGGTAATGTGTTTGTATAAATGAGCCTCGGTAAAGCGAGCTCTATGGAGGCATCAAGGACACACAAAATCTTGTCTGGCTATTGCTATGCTCTCTATAAGAAGGGCAAGAAGGGGCTAGCAGATGGCATGGAGGTTAAGGTGGCTGGATCCCACATGGCCGACTGAATGGTTCAAGTGTCAGAACCAATAGCCTGAAAGACACAGCCAGGACTGTGTGTGTGCATGCCCAGAATCCCAGGAGAAGAAATGGAGGAGAAGGGATTGTAGCATGGCCAAGCCCCTTTGGGGGTATTTTTTTTTTCTCTTTTTCTGTTTCTGGCTGGCACATGTGCTCTATAGCAAATTTTAAAAAGAGAAAAAGTAAAATTAAAAAAAGAAGGGCAAGAAAGAGCAACAAGTAGTTCAAAGTCAGGCTCATTCTTGTAGGCTTACACCTCCCAATACACAAGATTCATTTTACAAACTGAACAACAAACATGCCAAAGCATCTTTCTTTCTACCTGCCGTTGTTTTGCTCTCTCTCTCATTCTATTTACCATAACTCCTTTAAAATAGGAAGCTAGAACTTGCATGGGGTAGGCTTGTTGGCTAAGCAAACAATATTAGTAGATCATCAATTTCCCTGAAAGTCTCCAACCCTACCACATTCAGCCGAAGGAGCAGGGCAGAACAGCGGGGCTGAGGCTAACCTTCTGAGAGCATGCTTGTTATGTAGACCCCGCGGAGGGAGGTCACGTTGGTAAAGTCCGTCTCTCCACCTGTGGTAGTGTAGAGATGTCGGTCCAAAGACTTGGAATAGACAATGCCTCGGTCATCTGAGGTAAAGATTGTGCCAAATCCAGTATCTGAAATAGGCAAACAAACAGAACACAGTCTTGGGAGGTAACAGAGAGAAAAACAACAATGGATTAACCATATACATGACTCCTTACTGATCAAGCACATGAGCTGATGGTCTTTCTTCATGACGTAGCTAGCTGAGAATCTAAGAACCAATCAAGGTTGGATACTCAAGTTCTTCAAATTCATCTTTAACTATAGTATCTAGCTTAGTGCCTGGAATGTAGAAGATGCTGAGTTTGCTGAATGAATTAATCAGATTTATAGCAAAGCTCTTCCCAGATATTTTGGTGGCAGAGGCACTGTATTTAGAATCATATTTTACACATCTCTGAATCCTTATACTTTAGAACAATGCTTTTCAAACTATGTGATACAGAATCTATTCTTTATTTCCAAAATGTCACAAACCCTTTTTAAAAATAAAATATTATAAAAATTAGAAAAATGAAATAGAAAAAGAGAAACTACAAGCCCCTACTTTTTGTAAATTAGATTCAACAGACATAAAATTACTTTGCCAAACATCTATGAGAGTTTCTAAATGTTTACTCTCAAATGTTTCTGCACTTATCTGGTTAACAGAGTGTGCAAATTATTAGCACCAATTAGCCAAAAAAATCTTTGAGCTGCTGTGCTCTAGAACACTTGAACAGGCATATAAACCACATTAGAGTATAAAACAGGCAGCCTTTTTAACAGACCCCACATATTATTTCTAGGAAATAATCAATAGGATATTAGGAAATTTCTAGGGATACAAGGAAAACTCGACATTTAAGAAGGACAGCTACTCAAAGTAGGGTTCAAATCTTACATCTCTGTGGCTCACAGGTGGGCCACTGGAAAGCTCTTACCTCCAGGTTCATCTACATGCATGAACACCATGTCATCATTAGCTGCCAGGATCGAATAGAACTGTTCTTGTCCCACAGAGGGAAGCTGGGCCATGCTCCACGTGTCCCCTTGATCTGTTGACACGTGGATCCTTCTTGTTGTATCCTGGAACAGATGCCAATATTTATCTCTTAAATTTTCTGCTAAGCTGTCACGTGCAGAGACATGGACAAGAATTTTTTTTTAATAATAATCATTACTCATTTCCCTACTGAGTATAATTGCTATAAATAAAAGGTCAGAGAACCAACTGCCAAAGCAATTTCTAACCTCTAGCGAAGTTCTAGGCAATAACAATCCATTCTATTGTAAGTAAAGCTATCTTGGCTTTCTCTTTGGCTTCTTCATTCTGTTACGGCCCTTGGGAGATTGCAGGGGAAGTCAAAATGTGACCTGCCTCCTCTTTGAGGAAGTCTCAAAATAGCCATAATGAAGGAAATATGCATGGGCTGGGAAGAGTCTAAGGAGAGTAAGCAATTACTACTATAAGGAAACTCATCGGGGAGAGGCTGACTGGTAAAGGAGTCTGCACAGAAACAATTAAAGCTGGGATCAGCAGGTATAGTTGTGGTTAAGGTGCTGGATTCCCAAATGGCCTACTATGGTTAGAGTTCTAGCCCCAGCAGCTTAAAAATTATGCTGGGAGTGTATGCGTGTGTGTCCAAAATCCTGAGGAGAATGGAGGAGAAGGGACTGTGGTGTGACCATCTGCTCTATAGGGTGACTTCTAATTTTTCCTCTCTCTCTCTACTCTATGGTGAGTGCATGTGCTCTATGTCAAAAAACTGAAAAAGAAAAAAAAAAAAAAGAAAAGAAAGAAGATAAAGAAAAAGAAAAGAAAGGAACAATTAGATAGCTTAAAACATCTATTAGAAATAGCTAACCAGGGCATGAGAATTAATTTCTGGACTTACTTAGGTTAAATGCTCTTTAAAGTTCAGTGATAAGTCAATTTAACTTATTTAACTTATATCATGGTGTCTAATTACTTTGACTCTGATTCTGATCATGGGGTAGAAGTTATAGAGTTTAAAAGCATGTTGCAGAATTTTAATTTTGAAGATAGTAGTAGTATACCATATGAGGCTATAAGGAGAGATCCTCCGGAATGTGACAATCTAATTTATACCTGGTTCTGTCATTGGGTTACTCTAGGTAAGCTACTCAATTTCCTCACCTATAAAATTGAGAAAGTAGTATTCGTTCATAGAGTTGTTGGGAGGATCATTATAAAATTGCTTGGGACAGGGGCCAGCAGATGACATAATGGTTATGTTGCTGGACTTCCAGATAGTTGACTGTGGTTCAAGTCCTGGACCCAGTGGCTTGAAACACGCAGGGTGCATGTGTGTGCAATGCCCAAAATCCTGAGAGGAAAATGGAAGGGAAGGGATCGCAGTATGGCCATCCCAATTGGGGCGGGGGGGGGGGGGACAGAGGGGACTTCTCACTTTCTGTCTGTGTCTCTCTCTGCCTCTCCAGCAAGCAAAAATCTCCTTCTCAAAAAAAAAAAAAAAAAAAATTGCTTGGGACAGTTATCCATACTTGCTATGTCTATTTCCCCACCTCCAGTTCTCCCGGGAGTCATCCTGGTCTTTAAACCTTTCCACCCTAATGAAACTGCACTGTCAAGGTCATCGACAACTCCACTCAGCCAACTCCAGAAGACAATTCTCAGAACTCATGTAACTCAACATTTCAGCTCAATATAATAGAGTGGATCATTTCCTCCTTCTGGAAACACTTTTTTCACTTGGCTCTGGTGACATCGCACTGTCCTGATTTCCCCTTATCTCACTGGTCCCTCCCTCTCAGTCTTCTTTGCTAGATTTGTGCTTGCTTTTCAACCTTTATGTGTGGGGTTGCTTTAGGGTTCGCTCAGTACTCTCATCTCTTCTTATCTCTTCTTTATCTACTCATTCCTCCAGAAGATATCATCTAATCACATGGTTTAAAAAGCACATAATCTTGGGAGATTCATATACCCAAATACTTGCTTCATGTTTCTACTTAAATACTTAGTAGGCATCCATATCCAAAACAGAATTATTGATTTTTCTACCACAACCTGCTCTTCCTGAAGTCTTTGCTAACACAGAAAATGGTACCGCTATTCACCCAGTAGCTCAGGCCAATGACCCTAAATTTATCCTTGGTTCTAGTCATTCTCTCACAAACCATGTCCAATCCATCAGCAAGTCCTGTTAGAAATACATGTAATGGGGCCACCAGCTGGTGTGATGGTTGGAGCACTGGACTCCTACTTGGCTGACCACAGTTCAAGTCCTGGACCTGATGGCTTGCTTTCTCACTTCCCCTCTCTCTCTCTCCTCACTCACTCACATGAGTGCACGTGCCCTATAGCAAATCAATAATAATAACAAATAATAATAATAATTAAAAAAAGAAATGCATGTATCGATGTGTCCACAGTCTCACCACTTCTCCCTCCACTCACTGTTAACCAGCTACCACCTCTCTCACTTGGACTATCTCTTAGCCTCCTAGCAACTCTTGCTGCTTCCACTCTTGCCTCTTCAGAGTATCTTGCACATACCTATTCTGTCAAAAGAGAAGCCGTATCACATTGTTTGCTGCTCACAACTCTTCCATGGCTCCCGAACACACAAAGAACAAAGGCCAACCTTTTAATCATGATCCAGAAAGGCCCTGTACTATCTATCAGGCCACTGGCTCCCTCTCTGGCCTCACTTCTGACCACTCTTCTGTGTTCCAACCTCACTACCCTTTGTTCCTTTTCTTCAATATTATGAGCCGGCTCTGGCCTGTGGATCTCCGCATTTGCTGTTTCCACAACCTACTCTCCTTCCAGATGTGTAGTCATGCTCTCACTCCATTCGGGTGTCAGAGAGCCCATCCAAACCACTCTGTCCAAAACAGTACTGCTCTAAGTCCTGTTGTTTTCAATTTCCTTATTGGCTTCAATTTCTTCACAGCTCTGGGAGCAGGAAATTTACCTGTTTTGTTCACTGCTGTACTCCTGGGACCTAGCATAATACCTAGCATACAGAAGGTTCTCAATGTTGCCTATCTTCTTTACTTTATTATTAGGTCATGAGCAAATGGATTGATTTTCACAGAACATTCATGTCTGAGTAATCCCAAACACTGGGTCTACATATCCCAAAGGGCCAGAATTTGCATGGCGACAGGACAATGAATAAATGCATAGTGCAGCTCGTGTGCATCAATAAGCCTCTGTAAAAATAGTCACTCTCAAACTTTACAGTGATATTAAATATCGCAAAAACACAAGAAACATTGACAATACTAAGAATAAAGGGATCTACCTGAGGCAAATTTACAGAATTATGACCCCCCCCGCCCCCGAGAAGAGGCAAATATCTACCTTATCAGCCATTACAGAGGCAAAAAGGAAACGTCCTCCAAGACCAAATGAGTAGATTTTCACGCCAATGGTTTTGAAGCTTTTTCCCAAGTCGGAAGTTCTCCATAATTCCAGTGCTCCAAGGTCAGCTTCTTAAACAAGACAAAATGTGAATTAAAATTTCACTTACTGGCAAACCTGATTCAAAACATCTGTTTGAGAAGTCCTCTTAATTTTGTAACTAAAGCATTTTTAATTCTATATATGTTGATCAATTGACAATATAAATGTGACAGGATATCAAATATAGGGAATTCACATTTGGATTTGATTTTATTTATTCTGAGAGAGGAGTGGGAAGAACTAAACAAGGAAAAAACAAGTGAGAGGTATTTTCGACAAGGTCTTGCCATGTCACCAATGCTGCAGCTTTCCTGCCCAAGTCTCCCAGTTAGCTAGGACCACTGGCCCAGGCCATTACCCCCAACCTATTTAGACGGGGCCAGGAACCAAACCCAGGCATCCCACGTGGCCTCAAACACCACCAGTGGCACTGCCTCTCTTGTACCACCATGGCTAAGCCAACACATTTGGGTCTTATTCTGTAAACATAAGGCTTTATGCTGGGTAGAGAGAGAGAGTTGGTTTAATGCTAACAGAGCACTGCATAAAAATATTAGGTCGCTGGAAAAGTCATGACATATTTTTCTGTTTTTCTGTGAAAAAATGCGTTGTGACTTTCCCAACAGCCCAGTATCACAGCACTGACATCTAACTATACTTCCTTCATGGCAGTTTGAATTATCTTGCTATATTGTCTCATTTTTAAAAATTTAAATTGATTTATTTACATTCATTCACTATACATCATTACAGCAAACAAAATGAGATTTCCCATCCAGAGTACACTGTATATTGGCTCAATCAAGCACATCAATATACATGTTATCAACAAATAATTTTCCATTTCTTACTTCCTGTATATTTTGCTTTTTTTTTTTTTTGCCATCC